TAAATATTGGTTTTTTTCAAAGTTTTTAGGTAGTATACTCAGAAGCATTACTTTGGGCATAAATGGAATTGTACATCCCAATATCTTCTGCATTATTGCATGAATCCATCTCCAGTATCTCTTAGTTACATCACAATGCCACCACATATGATAAAAGGATCCTGTACTAGATAAACACTTCCAACATTTGTTAGAACACTTACTATTCCCTTTAGCTATTCTATCAGGTGTTATATACCATCTGTAAAACATCTTATACATGCAATAGCTTTCGTTATCTTAATGTTTTCTTTCCATATTTGTTCCCATTGTTCTAATTCAATATTATGACTTACATTCTGTGCTCATAAGATCATATTAGGTTTAATAGTCTCATCATACATCATATCATTAAGTAAAAGGACATAAGTTCTTTTAATCAACTTAGAGTCCACTAAGGTAAAAAAAAAATCATGTCTGTTAAATCTCCATAAAAGCCTCATTTTTTATCTTTATTGTACCTGGATTCCAGTTGCATTTTGCACCACCATGATAGACCATGTGGTATATTCATTAAGTTTTTGTTGTCCAGAATATCCTGGTATCTTATTAATTCTTCCCCCTCATGTATATTCGGTAAAGTAAAAGCCTCAAGCGTTGCAATAAGTCTAGAGTTTTTGCTATAAAATCTTTTAAAGATAAACTCCCAAATTTTCAGAAGTGCTGCTCACAGCCAATGTTGCTTAAAATATTTCTGTGTTAAAGCTTTTTCATACCACAGGAAAGCATGCCACCCTAGTAGTAGATCATGTCCTTCAAGTTCCAGTGTTCTCTTATCCTCTAGCGTAATCCATTCTTTTATCCAGAGGAGCGCTGCTGATCTGTAGTATAATAACCAATTTGGCAGGTCTAAACCTCCTCTTTCTTTAATATCTTGTGAAGCCTTCAATCTTATTCTTGGTCGCTTTCCCTGCCATACAAATTTTGAAATCATTTGATCCAACTCCTTAAAGAGCTTTTGATTCTGAAGTATGGGAATTGTTTCAAATAAAAATATCTACCTAGGCAAAATGTTCATTTTAGTTAGTGCAATTCTTCCCATGAAAGATATATGTAGATTTTTCCATTTTTCCAAAACCAACTTATTTTTAAAAGCTCTTTGTAATTATTTTCATAAAGAGTACTACACTACTAAACATTACCATGAAAATGGACTTTGCCTCAGGGCATAGTTGACATTCTTGGAGCCAAAGTGTACCAGGCGAGAGTCAATACATAGGGCTATCAGTATATGTCTCCTTAGCCCTATCCTCAGTGAAGAGTTTTTCTGGTGTCTCATGACCCCTCAGATAATAAACTCAGTTTGGCCAAAGTTCATATTACCGTCCTATGAAGGGCTGGCTTTTGTCAAGTTCATCACATTTCTAAACTGATACCTACATTTGGTTCTATAGACTGCAGGGTATATATTACTTGTGTTTTCGTTACTCTGGGCTGCCACCCGAAGACTCCCGAGATTTTGGTGTGAGTTGGCTGGCAGACAGGAATATTCCTCTACAAGTGCACTCTTTAGGTATTGAGTTTTCTTTGTATTACTTGTATTAAGAATTTTCTGTGCATGTTTCTGAAGTTTTGGTGAAGTTCAATAAACATTTTTAGTGTGGCCCAACCATCTCCACTCTCTCTCTTGGAAAGGCTTTTCTGTCCTTAGTCAATCTCCTTTCGACCCAATCGTACCTAGGTGGGGTTCAGAGTTCTGGGTTCAGGGATTCCCTTTCATCAGCAAAGAGTTGGGTTTTGTTTGCATCTCAATTGTTCTAATTACAAATCATCAGTAAAGACAGAACACCAGTGAGAAAATAATAGATTTGATAGATCGATTCATATATCTTCAGGTGGGTTATGACACTTAAAATGTTCAATTGTTCGGTACTGAAAGATACATTACTAGTCTGGCCATTTTGTTCAGCATCCAAAGTCTGTCATATTACTTGAGTTATGAGTTCTTGTACCTTAGGTGTGATCATCGTGAACTTTCTCTAGCTGGTAATACATAAGCTCAAAGGGAGCACGGCGTTTACTTTAAGACCAAAAAGTATGGAAACAAAATTCACAGCACTCCAAAGGGCAACAGAAAAAGTAGTTAGCTATTTTTATGTAAAATATTTCAAACTTATTTTTCACAAAAAATGGACCCAACACATGCAAAGGATTTAGAATTAAAGATCATAGATCCAACAACAAAAAATGTGTTCCTTGTATTAGAACTTCAACATTGTGGCCACAAACATCTTTACAATAGACTAAGTCCTATTCAATCAGTGGGAGTTATTGGAAACATGTATAGGATTGGACTGTTACAGTGGAATTTTAAGTAGAGCTTCAATCCACAGACGTCAATGAGTTTGGAAGTATATAATTCTGTTTAGGATTCCTCTATTATTCTTTAGAATTACCATATCATAATTATTTCTAAACAGGGGATTTTGAAAGCTTTGTAAATGAGTCTCCAGACTGCTACCAGTGTAAGTTGAAAGTAAGGAAAATAAAACTAATTAAAGATACCGGTGGTAGCATGTCGAGTACTTGTGTGTGTGTGTTTGTTTCCGTCAAATCACAGCTGACTTACGGCAACCCTGTAGGGTTTCCAAGGCAAGAGATGTTCAGAGGTGGTTTGCCTTTGCCTGCCTCTGGGTCACTACACTGATATTCCTTAGAGGACTCCCATTCATATATTGACCAGATCTAACCTTGCTTAGCTTCTGATGCTATCATGGGGCAAATAGCTACTCTACAGAGGCATTTCAGTCAGACAAGTGGCATAGGGGATAAGTCCCAGCCTAGATTAAATCCCTAAGCAGTGGCTACTTACCAGTTGCTACCAGTAGCAGTTGCTACTTACCAAGAAAAATATATGTTTGGGACTCTCAGATATGGACCTCCCAGATCCTTGTGTAGCTTGGCTCTCTGAGTCAGTGGGGGGAAACCAACAAGTCAAATGTTTGCAAGAAGTGAACTGACATTTTGGTAGAAGAAGAAGAAGAGAAGAGGAGATTGGATTTATACCCCGCCCTTCACTACCCAAAGGAGTCTCAGAGCGTCTTACAAACTCCTTCCCCTCCCCACAACAGACACCCTGTGAGGTAGGTGGGGCTGAGAGAGCTCTGACAGAAACCATTCTGCAGCTCTTATCAGGGTACGGCTTGCCCAAGGTCATCCAGCCAGGTGCAAGTGGAAGAGTGGGGAATCAAACCCAGTTCTCCCAGATTAGAGTCCACGCACTTAACCACTACACCAAACTGGCTCACTACTACCCAAACTGGTAGCCCCTTCTTTTAGGATTGTTTTTTTTTTAATCCCCCTAAGGGGAGTTTTTATTGAATTTTTCAAAAGACTACAAACTATAACCGAAAATTAGGAAAGGGAAACTACAACTAGGGAGAAAGGAAAGAAAGCCACTAGTAACTAAAACCCCAAGAATAGGAGATCATAACAACAGCTTATATGAATGTTATTCTTAATCGCTAGTATTACTTTGAACATAGTCGGTTATGCTAAATTATTTATCTTTTTACCCATCAATCTATCTGTTTATGAGGGGAAAGAGGTGCAGAATCTATTGTTTTGCAATGAAAGCGGGAACATAGCCAGCAGGAGTTATTACCACAAGGCCTGTGGTTAGGAAGTATATTTCTTTTCTCTTTTTCTCTGTCTTCCAGTTTCTTCTTGTACAGGCATTCAAAGCAGGAGTCGAGTATCACTGTAGACACCAGCAGCATTCACCCCAGCACAAGCTTTAATGAATCAGAGCTCACTTCATCAGATGAATGTATTCATCTGTTAGGCAGTATTTATGTTGATCGCTGCAGACAACAGGAAGGCGAGTGGAGTGTTACAGAGAGAGGCCAGGTTAAAGAAACATCCAGTCAAAAGTTCTTAGACGGTATTGTCTTACTTTCAAAATATTTCCCATTGTTAGAATACTCATTAACAGTGAATGGAACTCTCTCTTTTGTATTTTTGCACTGTGTGTGCCTGTGCCTGGAAGTCATGGTGACCTCTGGCGATTCCTACTTGGGCGGGGAGCACATTCAGAGAAATGGCTTGATGGCCTGCCTCTGGCCACCCGGCCCTGGTATTTTCTGGAGGTCTCCCATCCAAATCCTTGCCAGGATCAGCCCTGCTTAGCTTCTGAGATCTGACCAGATCAGGTTTGCCTGGGCTATCCAGGTCAGGGCCCAGTGAGTGGATCTCTTGATTAAGGTGGCAGTGGGAGAAGAACCATCTCCAGTGTTGCTCTCCCTCGTCCCAGCTGCGGCTTGGAATGTGTGGGGGAGGGCATTAAGGCACTGCCACTCTCTTCCTACAGATCCCATGCCTCAAGAGGGCACAGAGCCTCTCCTGGCTGGCATGGTCACACAGTGAGCCCCGCTGAGCAAGCAGCCCTCAGGCTCCAGCGAAGTGCATGGGGAGTCCAGACCCAGATAGGAGAGACCGCAACCCCAGACCAGCTTGCACCTAGGGTTGCCAGGTTTCCCCTGGCCACTGGTGGGGGATGGGGGTTACGTTTGCCTGTTCCAGGTTGGGAAATTCCTGGAGATTTGGGGGGTGGAGCCTGGGGAGGACAGGGACCATAGTGGGGTACGATGCCCTAGAGTCCACCTTCCAAAACCTTCCTTTTCTCCAGGAGTCTGGAGGCTGGCATCCCTAGCTGCACCTAGCCAAGGCAAGGCTCAGTGCTACAGGTGACCAAGAAGACAGGATGAAACAGCAACGGCGCCTCTGCCTCGCCCTTGCAGCCCCAGCCAGGCCTTCGGAGGGCAGCGGCGACGGCAGCAGCAGGAGGCCAGCGGCTGAGCCTGGGCGCGCTGCTCCGGCGAGTGGCGGCCCCTCCTCCCTCGCAGAGCCCGGCGGCGGCGGCGGCGGCGGCGGCTCTCAGGGCGCGCGCACGGCCGAGCCGGGCTCCGCGGGTGTCGCTAATACGTGGCGTCTGGAGCCGGAGCGTCTCAGAGCGGCGAGATGGGACCCGAGCGAGAGATCTGCGGCTAACCCGGCTGCATTTGCTCACCCGGCAAGGAAGGCACAGGAGGAGGAGGAGGAGGCGGATCAGGTAACGCCGCCGGCTCCCAAAGGGCACCCCGCTCGCGGCGGCGGCGGCGGACTGTCTTTTTTCTCTTGGACAGCCGGGTCCTCCCCAGTCGGGCCACTTTCGAACCCGAGCGGAGCGCATCGGTCTGGGACGGAGATGTCCCCGGAGGGAAAGGCAGGAGGGGGAGGCTGAGTTCACCTCGGCAAAAAAAGTGCGTTTTTCGGCTGGTGTCGACGGCGTGCGAGAACTCCGTCCGAGCAGTTTTGCGGCGCGCGCGGGGGGGGGGGGGGTGGGAAAAAAGGGGCCAGTTGTTCATAGGAGAGTGCTGCGTGCGTGCGTCGACAATTTGCGCGGCATTTTTAGTCCGGGTTTTTAAAAACCCCATTTTCTCAAGTGGGGTTTTTGGATTCCCAAGTCGCCCTTCCTGGCCTCCTCCCAAGGACATGCCGATTTGACTGAAGGCGACGCTTTCCAGACGTCGTGGCGGCCGCCGGCGCGAGGGCAAGGAGACCAAAAAGGGTTACAGGCGGGGGCGCAGGGAGCATTTGGGGAGGGGTCGGGGGGGGAAGAGTTGCCTTTTCGTGTGACCTTTTAAGGGAGTGGACGTTTGGTCTGGCCGATGGGAAAGGGCGTGTTGCGTTAAATATTATTTCTTAATTGAAGAGGAAGGATGGATTGGATGGAGAGCTGGAGCCGAGATCCTGGGATAGTTCTTTTTCTCGTTGGCTGGGGTTCAGCGCCTTGGAGAGCGCCCTGGGAAAGCTGTGAAGGGCAGGGGCTAGCCAACGCCCCCCCCCCCGCAGCCTCACGGATAACCAAACAAGCAAGGGGGTAGACTTTCCAATTTCCCGGGGGGGGCTGGGGCTGGGCCAGAGGCATTGCTTTTCGCCCCCACGAAGATTACGCCTATGCAAACAAGTCAAATGTCTAATCTTGCTTTGCCTTTCTTACCCCTCTCCCGACCATCTTCAAAGGAAACAATTCATCACCTTCTGCCTCCTCAACCTGCAGGAGTACCACCCCCTTCCCCCCCCCCCACCTCGAGACTGTAGACAGGACTCGGCAGGGAAATGTAGTCTTCCATCTGCCAATCATGTGATCAAAGCTGAGTTTTGCTCCCCTGCCCTCGCTACAAATAAAGGCTTCTGTTGATGATTTAAGGGATGACATTTCAGTGCCTTGTCGGGGATATACAGGTGTCTGCCCATTTGCTCCTTTATATTTAAGAGAAGGGTGCACGAAGTCTAACGTGTTCTTTTCCCATTGGCTTGTAAACTAATAAACAAGTGTGTGTTGCAACTTGATGTCAAGTTCTTTCACACAATCACATGAGCAGGTGACCTCTAAGCCTATAGCTTGCGTTCAAGTGAATGTGTGAACAGTGCACATCTCTCTCTCTTTGCTGCATTCACAGTAATAGATTAATTAGGCCTTATCTAGATGATTAGGAAAATGAATGTATTACAGAGGATCAAAGGACATGCTACCATTATGGGTCTGTTGCACTTTCCCACTGGATAACATATGCATAGTCTCTGCCAGGACATCTGTGAATCCTGTGCAAATGCAGTAGTACAAGCATTCGTCACAAGTACAGGTGTCACATTTATATACCACCTGTCTTCTGTCACAGTGGTCAAGGCTACAAAAGATTCCCAGGAAAAATTCCATGCAGGAATTGACCAGATGCAGACCTGCTTTGCTTTGACAAAGGGGCTGCTACCATAGTAAACACTTTTTGGTTAAGTTTTACTGGTTTACTATTTAAATGCTCTTTCTACTAATATGTAGAAGTGCAGGAGCACTTATGTGACCCTTGTTTGGGAGCTGCAGTGACAAGGCTAATATCTTCTCTGCAACTACAATCATGCTCTGCCATTTTGGAAACTCTTTTCTTTGAGCAGTTCTTTACATGTGGTGTGTTCCACTCTCACAAGGACACAGCCTAAAGGACACAACCCATAATAGCTGAATTTTTAAAAACTGGGGGACATACTTCCCTTCATTTGTCTATAAAAATAAATGCTCGCTAATGACTTTCTGAGGAAACACATGATTGAAAACAATATTTTAACAATTTTTATAACATCTTCCCAAGACAGAATGTACATTTAATCAGAATATATATTTTACAGGCCTGGTTTTGAAAAGCTGTGAACTTTCGACCTTTTCACACTTGCAGAAGCTTTAAAACAACAGGCTGATCTATCAGTTCCAGTTTTCTAATCCCCCCCCCCCCAATTCTGTGGGAACAAAATGACTGCAGTCAGCAACTTTCCGTTTCGGAAACAGGTTTTCCATTCCCAGTAGGTCTCAAATCCCATTAAAGAGCCAGTTTGGTGTAGTGGTTAAGTGCACGGACTCTAATCTGGGAGAACCGGGTTTGATTCCCCACTCCTCCACTGGCACCTGGCTGGATGACCTTGGGCAAGCTGTAGTTCTGGTCAGAGCTGTTCTTGAAAAAGAGCCGTTTCTGTCAAGAGCTCTCTGAGCCCCACCTACCTCACAGGGTGTCTGTTGTGGGGAGGGGAAGGGAAAGGAGTTTGTAAGCTGCTCTGAGACACCTTTGGGTAGTGAAGGGCAAGGTATAAATCCAGTCTCTTCTTCTCTTCTTCTAAAGTCCATGGAAAGAGTCCGTTTCTTTTTACTTCCATTGTAGTTTATGACAGGTCTATATAGGCCCCGGTCATACGGGCCAGATATCACGGGGGGGGAGGCGTGGCTAATTGCCCCAGCGCAGTTTGATCCGTGATTACGAGATCAGATGCGCCGGCGGCACACTACGGGTCCTTCCCTCGGCGCCGGCAGGTAAACAAGGGACCGGAGGGGAATGCCGCACGCGGGCGCGATCACACCACGGGAGTCTGGAGGCAGCCCGTGGCAAACGTTTACTAGTACTTTGGAGGTACTAGTTTTTTAACGTGCATTTTCGGCGGTAAGCCACAGGTGCGCTCCACTTCCCAGATGTTGGGGTGTGATCGTGCCCGGATAATCCGCCCACCATCCGTGCCTCTCCCGCGGCAACTTTGCCGTGTGACTGGGGGCATAATTCTGCTTAATATGTCCTGGCGTGTATCAAAATTAACTGCACTACAATTATGGCTAGTAGCATTTTAATTTGCTTGGACTGGAAATGATCTTCTTGATTAGAAAGTGCAGAACATCTGTTTAAGAGGGTACATGCTGGGAACCTGTGGGGGACAGAAATCCCATCCCCCCCCCAACCGCCCTCCTGCTCTCGCTCCCTCCCTCCCTCTCTCTCCCCCTCCCTCTCCCTCCCTCTCTTGCATTTCCTACTTTCTCTCTCTTCCCACCCACTTTCTCCCTCCCCTGCCCAGCTGCCATCTTCTTTCTCATGCTCTCCCCACCTTGCCACTATCTGTCTTCCTTTCCCTTCTTCCTAGCCCTTTGACCAAGAAGAATGGAGGGTGGCAGGCTTGGAGCAGAAACGTTGTCCTGGGCGCCCGGTGTTGCCATTCCTTTTCTGCCACCACCAACCTGCTGAGGGAGGGTTAGAACATGCTTTCCCCTCCTCCCTTCGCAGCATCAGGCTAAGAGTGGTGGCAAGACAGAGCAAAAGATCCCAGGACAGGATTTCTGCTCTAAGTCTGCCACTCCCCTGGTTCCCAGCTGATTGGGGTGGAAGATTCACCTCCATGTACTTCTCCCCCAGCTTTGGTGTAGAGCCAGTTTGGTGTAGTGGTTAGGAACGCGGACTCTCATCTGGGAGAACCGGGTCTGACTCCCCACTCCTCCACATGCAGCTGCTGGTGTGACCTTGGGTCAGTTACAAGTTCTCTCAGAGCTGTTCTCTCAAGGGCAGTCCGTGAAAGACCTCTCTCAGCCCTACCTCACAGGGTGTCCACTATGGGAGGGGAAGGGAAAGGAGATTGTAAGCCGCTCTGAGACTCCTTTGGATAGTGAAGGGCAGGGTATAAATCCAATATCGTCTTCTTCTTCCTCCTCACTTCTCTTGCCACCTCCTCCCTCACTGGATCAGCTTGTCCCCCTCCCCTTTAGCACCTTTCTCTAATTATGCTATGATATCCTCCCACCATCTCCCTGTACATGGTCCCACTGTGCAGCTTTCTGATCAGCATTTTGTAGCCATGTTCAGAATTACATAAGTAGATTAAAAACAGAAGAGCTCTCCTTTTTTCATATTTCCCTGCACTGATTATGATTCCTTCTCTCCCACAAAAAGGAGCCTTGTGGCTCCTTAAAGACTAACTGATTTTTATGACATAAGCTGTTCACAAAATCTTATACTGTAGTAAAGCTGTTAGTCTTTAAGTTACCACAAGACCCTTTGGTTAGCTGTCACATGGCTACCCTTGGGTTATTTCCTCCTGTTTCTCTTCCTGCATAAGGTCATTAGTAAAGAATCCCAATTACCAATTTAAAACCCAAGAAATAAGTCTAAAGATGCAATCAGTACTTTCTCCTTTAATATGGTCAACATTTAACATCTCTGTTCACAAATGTGGTCACACCTGCAACTGTATCACTGGTGTGTAATAACGCACAGCAAAACCACATAGGGCAGCCTTTGCCATGGTAACAGAAGTTGCTATGGGATTACCTACTATGCAGCTGCACGTTCCAAAGATCTGATTGTACATTCTCTTCCCTTCACGATGATCATGCTCATTACGCAAATCTAGCTGTTCTACATGAAAAGTTTCAATGGGAACTGAACAATGCTTCGATGCAAGTTAAATCTCATACAATAGAAACAATTTACTGTTTCCCCTTAGGCAGTTTTAGGAATTTTCTTTCTACCCAATAATCTCTCACAAAGAAATAATCTCTCACATGCAAATATCCTCATGTCTCTGTGTACTTCTTATCTGAGGAAGGCAAATGCCAACAGATGCCTTATTTTCCCATATTTCATCTTGCCTTTGATATTCTTCTGCTAAAATTACTAGTGTAACGATGCTGACAAGTCTTATAGTGTTGGTCCCAACACATAGAAGAAACACATTTTCAACAATGTGGTTTTAATGGACTCACTAATG